GGCACACAGAGCGGGAGGGGGCCGAGCAGATGGGCTCGGGGTCCGGGGAAACTTGGAACCTCCTCTCCGCTATCCCCCTTCGGTCAGCTTCTGTTCGCCCCCATGAACACCCCCTCCCGTTGTCGGCTTCCTTCCCGGGGCCCCTTTTCTCCGCCGCCCCCGCCTGTCTGTGGGTATGTCAGTTGGTCTCTGACCCCCTGCCCCTGCCCCATGCTGCCTTGGGGTGTGGGGCAGAATTCTGGGATTCTTGCTCCTTTTTCTCCTCCTACCACCCCCCCCAATCAGTCGCCCCCGTTTGTCTGTCCGGCAGTTTGTCTGTCTGCTTGCCCCCCCCCCCTTTGTGGGTTTTTCCAGCCGGAGTGATGGAGCCGGTTGCCATGGCAACTGCATCTGTTTACAGGACCCACGGATCGCAGAGCCCATTAACCCTTTCCCTCTCACTCACCTCCCTGACCCAGCAGTGATTGGCTCTAAGCAGACCAGAGACCTAGTCCCCACCACCAGCTCACCTTGGGCTTCCCTGCCCCCTCCTTTCTGGGCTTGCCCTCATCAGGTTTCCTTCCCACTTCCCATTTTCCCTCCTCTTCCTTCCCACTTTCCCCTTTGTCTTGTGTCCCCTTTGGTCTGTTTCTCACTCTGGCCTGGCCTCACACCTGCTCTTTCAGAGTGTCCATTTCTCATCCTTTATCCTAATCGCCTCCCCTTAGAGAGAGTCCCTCTCCCTCATTCTCTCTGGGGTCCTCTCCTCAGTGCCCCCCTCTGCCTGGCTCCCTTCCTTTCACCAAGAACTATTATCACTCAGCCTCCAGCTCATTGTTTGGGGCCCTTGGCCCCCCCCCTTGACTGCCCTCCCTCCACCTCTGTCCCCTGAGGTTTTGGCCCCCATCCTGATCCCCTCAATGAAGACTGCCCATCTTGGTCGGCCCTGGTCTGTCCATTTCGGCATCCTCTGCTCCAGGACACACCTTCCTGATCTTCATCCCCTCTAGGGGGGTTCCTGTACCTCTCTCCAGTCTCTCTCCCTATAACCCGTTCTTTCCTTCCTCTCGCTTCCTCATTACCTCACCTGCTTATTTCCTGGTCTCCCCACTTGCTCTCTTTTCCTGGGACCTGCTGCCCGCCCCATGATCCTCCCTGGCTCTTGACCAATCTCTCCCTTCACCATCCCCCTAGCCCCACTGCTGCCTGTCTCCTCGACATCATGGTTCCATGGACTCTCACTGCACCCCTCCTGTGTAAGGAGTGAACCCCTACAGGCACCTTCCAACACATCCCCCCCTCCCATCTCCAGCGCTCTCCCTGGTTTTGCCTCTCCCTCTCTCTCTCTCTGTGGGTCTCTTAATTGCTTTTTCTTTTCTCCCCCTTTGCCTTTTTCTCTTTCTCTGCCTCCATACCCACCCCCCAATCCGTCTTGATCTCTCTGAGCCTCCTATCTCATCCCAGGGTAGTGGACAATCCTGTGGGCTGGGGGCAAGAGAGCTGGGGTCCTAAAGATCGGAAGAAATTGAGGGTCACAGGCTGGGAACACAGACCTGACCAGTTCCTGGGAGAAAGTTTCCTGGAAATCAAGAAGCCTCTTTCCAGGCCTCTCCCCACCCAGAGACCTCCCACAGCCCCTCTGGGGGTCACCTGTCCTTAGTGGCTACTCAGAGCAGTCCTCAATCCAACATACCAGTGTCGATGCTTCCTAAGAACCGGGCTCTGGGCAGCTGTGGGAGAGTCAAGGATGAATAAGACTCAGGCTTTGCCCTTGTGAGGCTCCTAGGTTGGGGGAAAGGGCCCAATAAAATATTTATTGAGCACCTATTATGTGTCAAGCATGGTGTTCACTCAGCTATTTAGTTCGGTGATCATAGCAAGTCACTCATGCTGAGTCTGTTTCCTTGTGGATAAAGTGGGTTTGTTGTATATACATCAGAGTGCCCAGAGCACCGCCTACTAAGGGGGGTGGGATGGGCATAGGAGGTGTGGTCCTCAATCCAAATTGGTAAGAACCAGAATCTTCCAGGGCAGGACCCCAGATCCCACCCCAGACCCTGAGCCCAGTCCCTACTGGTCGCCAGGCAACCCTTGTGGTGAGTGACGTGTGTCAGCTGTCATCGTGGGGAATTGTTTGTTCCAGGGGGCTGAGTCAGCGCCAGGCAGCCTGGGGGGGTGGGAGGCACCACACCCGCTGCCTGCTGGTGGTGCCAGCTCTGGGGCAGACAGACGGCACCCTTCCACTCCCTGCTGGACCCTGTTGCTGTGCCTGGCAGGCAGGTGGCTGCCCAGAGTCCATGGGGGTGGGGGCGCTGCTCCAGATGGCCCCGGCTCCCTCCAGGAAGCCCATGTTCTCTCCCTCCAAGCCGTCTGGGGTCCGGGATGCTTGGGGGTGGTGGGCCCTGTGCCTTCCCCTCCAGCTGGTGCTGAGGGGAGGGGACCTCAGAAGGCTATTCTTCCAGACCTCCTATCATGCCAGCTCCCACTGCCCCCCACCCAGGTCTGTCTTATCATCCTTTCAAACACCTGTACCTCCCAAGAGTTCTCCATCCCAATGAGGACACTGCCATCTACCAGATGCCCCAACTCCCAAAGGCAACTTGGGCCCCTGTGCCTCCACTCTTCTTCAAGCCCACTGGAGTCTGGTTTCTGAATAGCTCTGGAATCCCTCCACACCTCTCCATTCTCACTGCTGCTGTCCTCACGCTGATCACGCCAATCGACGAGCACCCCCCCTTCCCCCATTTCCTCACTGGTCTGTCCTGCCTATGATAAAGTGGTTAAGAATTTTAACGCTGGAGTCTAACTGGGTTAGAATCCTGGCTTACCACTGACTCACTGTGTGGCCTTGGACAAGTGACTTAGACTGTCTCAGTTTCCTTATCTGCAAGATGGATATGGTAATACCAGTCCCTACGTCATCAGGTTGTTGCAAGCATTAAATGATTTAGTAAACATAAAGCCTGCTGGCATAGGGTAAACATCATACATGTCTTGGCTGGGACTGTTAGCCAATGTGTACTTCCTTCTCCATCCATCCTAAAGCATTAGCCTGACTGTCCCACTCTGCTGCTTTATACCCCTCAATGGCTCCCCATTACTTTTGGGTTAAAGTCCAAACATCTGGTCCGGGTTCACAGCATCTCCAGCCCATCTTTCACATTCCCTTCTTCCTTCCCACTCACCTTATACTTTCACTCTGACCCCATGGAACCCTCAGCTTCCTGAATGTTCCTTGTTCTTTCAACCTTCTGCCTTTGTACCTACTGTTCCTGCTGCTTGGACTGCCCTTCCCCCATTTGTTCACCAAACACCCACTCAGGGTCCAGCCTGAACTCTGCCCCCGCCACACCTCCAATGCTGGACCAGGCACCCCAATAGCCCTGATCACCCTGGAATATACTTCACAGCTCTCCCAAGCAAGGGAGCCCACCCAGGCGAGACCCCAGTGGTCAGCAAAGGGCAGAAAAAAGACACCATTTCTTGGGATGTTTTGGATGGAAGCGTCGTGAACATGGCTTGACTTGGACATTAGCACACTAGGATTCCATTCCACACTATTGTGTGACCTTGGGCCAGGCCCCGCCCCTCCTTCAACCTCAGTTTCTCCACCTTTGCAGCAAGCTCCATCTGGCCCAGAACCCATGTATGAATTCCTATCTCACAGAAGGATGGGTGGGGGGCCATTAGCTGCTGCCCCAACCCTGACGGGCACACGCCCCTCCCCCAGATCATAGCCTTTGACGAGCTGCGGACCGACTTCAAGAACCCCATCGACCAGGGGAACCCAGCGCGGGCAGTAAGTGATACATGTGCTGTGCCGAGGTGTGTCCGTCCGTCTGTCCTTCCATCTGTCGCAGGCGAAGGGGGGGTGGGGGACGGGAAGAAGGGGGGTGTGTGGTGGGACTGGCGACGGTGCCCCTTCCTGTCTGTCCCCGCCCCCAGCAAACACCTGGCGCGGGCTCAGGGCTCGGGTTCTTCCTGGCGGGGCGGCCGTTGCCAGGCTCTGGGCCGTTGCCGTGGAGACGCGGGTGAAGGTCCTTCCATGGTGACGGTTGCCATGGGGACGGCGCGGCTGCTTCCCTGCCGCAGAGTCTGCTCTGGCGCCCCCTGGCGGCCACGCGCAGGTCCGCGGGAGACGTAGGGAGGGCGGCGGGGGCGCCCCCAATGCCCGCTCCTCCGCCTCCCCCATGGCGACCTTTTCCTCCCCCTACAGCGCGAGCGTTTAAAAAACATCGAACGCATCTGCTGCCTCCTGAGGAAGGTCAGTGTCAGGGCCAGTAGCAGGAGGCTTCTAGCCCAGCTCAGCCCTCGTGTGTGTGACCCGGAGCGGGGCCTTGCCGCTCTGGGACCTGTTTCATCTGGTCTGCCACCGGGGGAGGGAGTGGGAGGCTAGCGGCCCCTTTAGTCCTCAGAGGTCACGGTGGGGGGCACCTCCCAAATCCCAGCTCCCCTCTGTGCCCTTGAAGCTGGGGTCTGTCCTGGCACCAGGCAGCTGACCTCTCACCCTCCCTTCCCCAGCTGGTGGTCCCAGAATACTCCATCCACGGCCTCTTCTGTCTGATGTTTCTGTGTGCAGCCGAGTGGGTGACCCTGGGCCTCAACATCCCCCTCCTCTTCTACCACCTCTGGAGGTGAGGGCCTCAGCATCCCCCTCTTCTACCACCTCTGGAAGCTGCCATGGGGGGAGTGAGACGGAAGAGCAGGGGCGAGATGGGGGTGGGAGCTTTGACGTGGGTACTCAGGCCCCTCCCTCACCCCAGGTACTTCCATCGCCCGGCGGATGGCTCTGAGGTCATGTATGATGCGGTCTCCATCATGAATGCTGACATCCTCAACTACTGCCAGAAGGAGTCCTGGTGCAAACTCGCCTTCTACCTGCTCTCCTTCTTCTATTACTTGTACAGGTGAGGCCCTGCCCATGGCAGTCAGAAGTCAGGGAAGGATGTTCCAGGTACCATGCCTCCAATTCCAGGAATGGCTGGGCCCCACGTGCCTGCCTTTTCCCTCTAAGGACCGAGGGCAACCCAGGGTATGACAGGGTGGGTGACCAGTAGCTGGGCCTATTCAGGACTCGGCTCACTGCCTCATCTTCCCACAGTATGGTTTATACGTTGGTGAGTTTCTAAGGGGGAAGCCGGCCAGGGAGCAAGCCCAGAATGGACCGGACGCCTGTGCACCCCCAGCCCTGCCCCTCGGCCGCAGAGGCCTCAGCCCTGGGGAGGGAGGGGGCACTGGTGCCCCCAGCCTCCTCTCCACCCCTCCACACTGCTGCTGCGGGGACCTCCCGCCTTCAGAGCCCCCTCCCCTTGGACCAGGGCTGGGCAGAGCTCTAAATAGGGGCAGGGGCTCCTCGGCCAGCCTGTAGGCATGGCAGTCAGTCTTGGAAGGGGCGGAACCTCCGGCCTTGTCCACTTGGTGGGGGGGGGGGGACATGGACCCTGCCAAGGGGCAGGGCGTGACCCTGGAAGTTCTGGGCCGCCCCCCTCCACCCCCACCCCGAGGCTCCCCCTGCAGGTGGGGGGGTACCCGCACCGGGAATGAGCAGGCTCAGCAGGGGGGCAGCCCCACCCCTAGTCTGCCCTCTCCCCTCCCCCAGGCTCTCTCTCCAGACCTCCCCCTCTCCCCCATTCCCCCTTGCCCCAATCCCAGCCTGTCCTGTCTCTTGGACCTATTTTCTATGTTGCCTGGAGGAGTCCGGCACCCCCTCCCCGGCCATTTGTGACAAAATATGAATAAACTACTGCAAATACGTGGGCCCCAGTTCTGCTCCTGAAAGGCTTGAAGAGGACATGGGGGCAAAGGGACTCTATAGGGGGCAGCCCTCAGCTAAATCCCCAGTACAGCTAGGCTCAAACCACTGGCCCACGGAACCCTCTAGGGAAACCCCTCAGATGGATCAGAGGCCTCTGAGGTCTCCTCGGCAGCGGCTCCCCTCTATCCTCGCTTTCCTGGCCACAACGAAACAGCCGTTTATTCCTGCTGAAACCCCTCCCTCTGCCTTTCAAAGCAGTACCAAGGCCACCAACTCCAGGAAGCCCTCCCCTGGGTCCCCTGAGCCTGGTAAACCCTGGGCAATGGAGAGACCCCCACCCCACGCCCCAGGAACAAGGGTCAAATACAATCAAGGAAATCAAATCTTCAATGTATGGCAAAATCAGTGCCAGTGGGGGTCAGGGGTCACCGGACCAGGTGGAAGGTCAGCCAGTATATGATGAGGGGCTGGAAGGCTGCAGCTCCCAGGGTCAGGTAGAGCTGGAGACGCTGCCGGGGAGCTGGGCCCCCCATGTTGTCAGGGCCCAGGGCTGCTGTTCGCAAAGAGCGCACCTGGAAGAAAGGACAGAGCTGAAGCTGGGCCGGGAGGGAGAGGCTCGTCCCCAGCTCCTACCCCAGGCGGAGAGGCACAAGGGGCAGCCCCAGACTCACAATGAAGTACATGAGCGAAGACGAAGTCCAGGCCAGCGCCACGTAGTAACCATCACTGCCGAAGAGCAGCCCTGTGAGCACGCTGAGGATCATCCTGCAGGGGGTGTGGTGCAGGTGGGGGTGAGGGGGAGCGCAGAAAGAGAAGGCTGGTGATCTCCCAAGGGTCCGGGCCTCAAACTGGCCCCACCACCCAGCCTAGGCCCCACCCACCACCACTGGGGCCCTTTATGTCCAATCTGTCTCCACAGAGTCCTAGACTCAAAATGAATCTGGAAGACCTAGGACTCAGTCCTAGGACGTGGATCTGAGACCCCCTTTACTAACCCAGCACAAGGCCCTTCTCCCCTGTGTTCCCAGGATGACTCTCCACACATTCCTGACCTGAACAACAGTACACGGTTCCTGAGGAGAATGCTAAGAACAGCCGGTTCCTCTAACAGAGAAGAGCTAGGGCCCTGAGAGGGGCAGAGGGGTGCCCAGGGTCATAATTCAAGACTACAGCTACACCGGCTAGGAACCCATGGCGGCAGGCCCCTCTCCCAGGCCTGCCTCTGGCCTGGCCCATCGGTACTCACCCCACATATTTGTAGCCGCTGTAGGCTAGCAGGTGGAAGATGCTCAGGTCACTGCGCACGGTGGCCAGATAGGCGCCCAGGAGCAGGGCTAGCACCTCCATCACGACCCACACCAGCGCTGTGCTTGCACACAGGCCCAGCACCTCTGGGGAGAACCTATGGCCATGGGGGGGAGGGGGAGCATTCAGAAACCAGCCATCCTGTGGCAGGTGTGAGACTGAGGACATGGCCTGGGCTTGGGACCTGCCACAGGTCCCCTAGGGAGGTGAGCAGAGCAGTCAGGAGGGGGAGCCGGCGGGAATGGGGGAGGGCGTTGATACTAACCTTTTCTGAATGCCCAGTGCCATCCCAGCCAACAGCACATAGGTGATGAAGGCCATTGCTGCCAAGAACCAGAAAGATGCCATCAGCCTGGTTTCCTCAATCAGAGCCCCCTGGCTAGGTATTTGAGGCCATTTACACTCCCTACCTTCTCCCCATACTTCCTTCCCTGCATATCCCCACATGCCAACCTCCACAGTCAGCTCCTAATACCCTGCTTGGGATGCCTGTCCCTGCTCAGCCCTCTCTCCCCGTGAAATGCTACCTGACCCCCGGGACCACCAAGCCACCTCCTTCCCTGTCCCTGTGCTAGGACACTCACCAAATTTTCCTGCTCTGGCCCACAACATATCAGGGGCCAAGGCTATTGCTAATCCTAGACCAACAGGCAGGGGCCAAACTGATCTCCCACAACACTACAGGACTAAAATACAGGCTTCAAGACAACCCAGGCTCCCCCCAAAGTCCGACCCATGGGGATGACGTCACCTCAGCCAGTGATTTTCAGTCTGGCCACGGGCGCTGGCTTGGGCGCTGGCCATCCCACCAACGGAGAGGGCTCCTGGTTTACCTCTGCTGTTTACACAAAAGCTCAGAGCCAGGGGGAGCTGGGCTTTCACACCAACTTTAACTCCTCGGCCCTGTTCTCTGCCCCCTTGAAGCACCAGAACTGATGTGCCCACCAGAGAGCATGGGGTCTGGTCAGGAAACCAGCTCTACCACCTATATATATAAGCTATGTGGCTTCAAAGACAGTCGTCTCTCTGAGCCTTGGCTTTGACACCTAAAATGGGGATGGCAGTTCCTGCTTTACAAGGTGGCTCTGAGAGAAAATGGAATGAAGGATAGAACCGGTGGCCCTCCCGGAGCACGTGGGCTGACTGGCTGCCCTGGCAACCCATCTGAGGGCCGCCCGGGCACACTCGCCCCTCCTCCAGGGTGTCCACCGTGGGCTTCGCCTTGTGCAGGCCCCAGGACAGAGAGGAGTGAGATGCACTCCAAGGACGGCAGCCGACCCCATGCCATGTGGATGGGCAGTTACGGGAACCCAGAAGGGAGCGACCACTTCCTCAGAGGAGGGAATGTCGGCGCAGGACTTGGGGGACGAGTAATCGCTCTGGCAGTAACTATTATTTACAGCGTGCTTCCTGCTGGGTGCACATCACCTCACTGAATCTCCACAGCGATCCTTTATGGTAGAGACTGTTGTCATTCCTGGTTTACACAAGAGTAAAAGTAGCCAGCCTGAGGTCCCATTACCGGAAGTTGCAGGACCAGGTCTAAACCCTGGGCTCCAGGGGAGGGACATGGTCCCAGTTAAGAGGCAAGAAGATCTCAAAGGGAGTACCCTGAGGGCCCACCCAGGAAGCTCCTTACCGGTCCCCCTGCTCCGTCTACTGGGTGTCTAGCAACCAGCACACACAAAAGCACCAAGGGCAGATGCTCAATCCATGCACGAGCCTCTCTCTCCTCGTTGGTACCTCCAGGCACAAGTCCCCCCCCGCCCCGCAGCCCAGGTCAAAGACTCACTGGGGATATAGAGGTCAGGGGCGTTGAGATCTTGCCGCGGCGGCACAGGCACATCGCGGCTGGGCTGTACGTCCCAGTTCTGGCGGTGGCAGCAGCCAGGTCAGGAGAAAAAGAGACAATGAAAAGAAAGAAGGGGGTTGAGGTCTGGGGGCCAAACTCTGGGACGGGACGAGGGAGGCACACAGGGCCCCGCCAGCTCACCTGGTGTGTGTAGGGGAAGACCAGTAGCCCCAGCTTCTTGGCCACATAGGCCGTGTCCACAGCAAAAAAATACTTGAGTTTGTTCATAGACACAAAACGGTGCAGCTGGGAGAGGAGAGAGGAGGCTGTGGACAAGCTGCACACCAAACCTCAGGGTGCTCCTCTGTGTGCTCCTTCCCTGAGGGCTGCTGTGAGAATTAGGTGGGATCCCGTGATGCCCCATCCCTGGCCAGAAATCTTGCCACCCTTGCCCTGGGGGTGGGCCACACCTCCTTGTGCACCATGTCCTTCCCGTGGGATGCGATGGAGCTGCCATAGGCCATAGCCACGCTGGCCACTGGGTCCCCAAGCAAGTGGTTGACACTGAAGGCCACGTCGGCTCCTGGGGCTGGGTATCCCCCTGGCTGGCTGGAGTAAGCACCACTTGTGTCATCGAAGAGGGGAGGGGGATCTGGAGCTGCCCGGGCCCTGTGCTTGGAGCCTGTGGGTTTGTAGGTACTAGAGTAGGTGACAGGAATATCAAACATGAGCCCAAACCACCACCCCTTCCCCCAGGTTGGGCAGCCCTTGTATGGGTCCTGGGGCCACCAATCAGTTAGTGAAACCCGGGCTGGATAGGGGTAGGTAACCCAGAAAGAACTTTGATGAGGGATCCTTTTCCAGAGGTGCTAAATGTCGGCAAAGAAAGAGCTGAGGCAGCGCCTGGAAGTGGCTGCCCACCTGGGGGTTTCTGGGGGCCCTGTCGAGGGAAGTGATCTCTGAAATGAGCCTTGGAAGAGTGAGTAGAAGTTTCCTAGGTGAAGATAACTAACTGGGAGGGCATCCCGCATGAACGAGGATGGGAAAGGCGACAGCTGGGTACCCAAAGGCCCTGGGCTGTGGTGAGGGCCCCTACCAGGGTTATGACAGGTAAAGGAAGTTCTGAAGGCAGACCCCGTTCGTGCCCGGGTCTGGCATGGGAATCCCAGCTATGCTGTCACCGCCCGATCTCAGGGTTGGGCCGAGGGGGCGAAGTCCAGGACGCGTTGTGGAGTCACGCAGGGCAGAAACCCGAAAGACACCCGCCGCCCTGGGGAGCGGTCACGGCTGCCCCTCTCCCTCAGGGTGAGCGGGCAGCGCCGCCGACCCTCCTCCGGCCGGTCGGGCCGCGCGTCCCGCCCGCCCCTCGCCCCACGCACCGTGGGCTCCGTAGCCCGAGTGATAAGCCATGGCCGCGATGCTGGCGCTCCCCAAGGGCCCGCTGCGCCGCCTCGTGGGTACGAATACTAATAAGGCAGCTGCTCAGCTTCTTGGGCACCGACCCGGGTTATGGAGCAGCCCGACACGTCCGCGAGCTCTTCGACCACAGCCGCCATGTCCTCAGCGTTATCCTCCGTCGCCTGCCATTGGCTTGTCGGCGGCGCTAGCTCACCCCTCCTCTCTCCCAATTGGTTGCTGGCGCGGCCTCGCCGAATTAGATTCGGCAGTAGTCAACTTCCGGGAGGGGGGATAGGCGGAGCAATCCGAGGCGCTCTCGGATTGGATGCTGGGTTTGTTAGTTCGGGGCCAGAGCAGCCAATAGGTGGGTTAAGGTAGGAGGAGGTTGAGAATTACTTCCGCGCCTGCGCAGTGGGGCACTTGACGCTCGTCGTGCCACGACTGCACCAGGTGGAGACCTGGCGGAGGAGGGAGTACGGGAACGGAGTTTCACTCGGGGGACGTACCCCAGGAGGGAATG